CACAATGCTGAAAGCAGGTTGGTAATTTCTCTGTGTGAGTTTTTTCCCCATTGAACAAGCTGCCTGTCTACGTGACCTGGAAGCAAGCGCTTGTTTAAGAATGATGGCAGAAGTGCTGTGAAGTAATCATTTCTGTTATTCTTTAAAAAGTGTCTCTCGGAAGCTTTACTGAGTACATAGGTGCCTGTGCCAGATGGACCAAGATAGTTCTATTAGATATGAATTATTTTACATCTCCTGCCAAGGTACAGAAAAAGCTACTCTGTATTTTGTGCAGGCTACAGAGCTCTTGGGGCTAGCATTGCCCTCCCTCTACTCCATCTTACTTACTGTCTATCTGCACTGTATATCCAAAATATTCTATTAACTGTTAAAAAGTGAAGCTTTTGACAGTGAAAAAAATACTGGATTGATTTGTAGTATTTTTTTTCATTCAGTTATTAAATGCTGCAGAATATACATTCAGCAATGAATCTACTTCACAGAGGTAGTATATGATTAATACAATAAAACCTTTTTCAGACTCTGAGACAGATAATTTAGATGATATGTATTACTACAGTCAGGAGGTTTTATTTGAGTCTTATACATGGTAAAGTAACGCAAGTTAGTTATTTTGAATAGATGGTGGCCTAACTAGATGAAACTGCAAATGGGAATAAAAGAAGAATCCCTTGGGGTAGGTGCTAAATCCATCAGCTTTAGTCTGTCAGACTTTGCATACGTCGTCATCCTTCTTGGGTAGTTGTAAGACAACCAGATAGTAGCTGCCTGAAGACAAAGATGTGTTTTTTCACAGTAACAGTGAGGCAGCTTCTCTTTTCCCAGTTTGTACTGCTGGTTTCAAGAGGAGTCTGGATAGGATCCTTGCATCTGACTAATACAGAAGCACTCAGCATGAAAACAGGGAGATCTGTAGTACTGTATGTAGTAGAGCTTATAGTGAAATCAAAAGTATTCCAAAACAGTTCCTTTGCAGTCATGTGTTCTCCACACTGTGGGTTGTCAGGCATACATTAATCACTTATTGTCTACCTTTGGGAATAATCTCGTTGTTTGTCTCAGTGATGTGTCTGCCTCTGTCTCTTTGGGAAATTTCACTGTGGAGAAAGTCAGATTTATCAGCATTTGGTTTTCATCTAAAACCAGAAGCATTTTTCAGGATTTATGTAAAAGCACTATTTCAAAGGATGGGTAACCTCAGTTTTATTTCTGCTTCTTTTTCTAATCAGATTTTGAAAAGGAAAACAGAGCTATCCATTTAATAGAATGCTTGCTTTTCTGAAACTGATCTTTGCTACAGCAAATTACCAAAGGATACTATTACCTTGGGTACTTATGGATCTATTTCCTCAGCTGGAAATACATTTCCTTATAAATTAGACAATAAGGTATTTTATCAGGGAAATAGACTTCATGTCTGTTTCTGTGTTGCTGTACGTACTGGCATTACACTGTATTTCTTAGGGTGTTTACATAAAGCCTGAAAAGAAAGAAGGGTCTGCTTTACTTTACCCAGGCTGTTATTGCTTAATTTGCAATGGCTTGAATTTTTTTTCAGGTGTGGCAGTTGACCTTTCCTTCTTCTTCCCATTCTTCTTCCCCTTCCCCTTTCTCTTCCTCTTCCTCTTCCCTTTCCCATTTTTCTTTACCTTTTTTCTTTCCCTTTCCTTTTTTTCTTTCCCTTTCTCTTTTTTCTTTCCCTTTGCCTTTTTTCTTATTTTTTTTTCAATAAAATATGGAACTATATTCAAAACTAACTAAATTAAGCAGATCAAGCTCTTTTTCTGATCAGAGTATGTCTATGGCAGATTGTGGTTTTTTTCCCCTTGGCTTTCAATTCAGAAATTAACCCTCATTGTAAAACTTTGTCTATAAGAATGGATTTCACTGTGTACTAAGTTACGTGATTATTTGAGGGGGCTATTACATTTAGATTACTAGTGAACAGATATGTCTGATTCCTTTTAGCTCTATGTGTTGACTGTAGTAAAGCTTACCACTTTTCAAGAGGTAGAATATTCTTTCCCAGTTTACCTTTTTGTTTAAATGTTATCCAGTGTTTAGAACTGCACACATACCCTTTTATTTGGATAAGAACCTGGTAATAAATGATAAAATAATAATAGTATTATTATGATAATTATGATTATTAGCCATAGCAGATCAGTGGAGAGAATCTGTGAGGTTGTTGTCAAAGAGCTCACAGCAATGCATTATAGCTGTTGTTTCCTGATGTTGACTCTGAGACAGCACATTTCTAGCACGTCAGAAGTACTGGGATTTGCTTATATTGACACAATAAATTTCTGATTCCTATATTTAGTTATAAAAAGCTATTTTTTTAACACAGTATCACAGTTTCTCCTGAAATAGCTGGTAATGGAGTCTTTCAGTCACTTTTTACAGAAATGAACTGAAAATCTCAAAGGAAGAAGGGGAACAAGGAGAGAAGAGGAAAAATGGTGAGGAAATTGCTATGGTTAGTTTAAAGGGGAGACTCTGTTACATTTCCAGCTCAGCATGCTCATCAGTACTGGTGGAGAATGTGCAGTATATGTTAAACAATTCTTTTTTGCTCTGTAAAAATAGGCATGATTCCCTGTAGTGCACAAGAAAAACAATTCCACTATCATAATCTGCAGAAACAGTTCTACCAGATGCCTCTGTTTTTATAAAAAATTCCATCTATCTAACACTCCTGACTTTCTAGGAGTTGATACATCTTTTTTATTAGTTTCTTTTTTAGAAATTGATCAAAAGCAAAGACCCTTCTCAGCTATAAACCTCTAAATATTTTTAGAGGTTTAAAGTAACTACTTTATTCTGTAGCCTTCCTAGACTATGGTTTCTGATAGCAACAAAGAGCATGAAGTTTGGGATTCACATCCTTTTGTTTTCCGCATATTTCAACCTTTGATTTAGGACATCCCTTCTTGCTTCATCAGTAATGTAAAACACCTCATGAATCAAAGGCAACAAACAGAATTTCAGAAAGAATTTCAACCCCTTTTCTTCTAGTCGCACAAGCAGATGATACAAGCCAATATGAAGGCAGACAGAGTATACTGCACCCTAAGACTGTTGAAAACAGTATCCTTTGGAGACTCATGAAGATTGAGATAGTGAATGAAATTACATTTTAAAATGTAATAAACAATACTACTGGCATGGTAGTGCATCATTTCATAACAGAAAGTGGAAACTTCAGATCTGAAACTCATAGACATGATTTGCTCTCTCTTGACTTTTAGACAACCATTTCACTCCCTAGTGAAAAATGAATTGTGCTTTGGCAGATGCTTAACTTTTGCTATGGGAGCACCAAAGGATGTTAAAAGATAATGAAACCATGTTGTGACAGGTGTAAACCACTCAGACAAGGAGACTTTCTCTGCCAAGTACTGAGTATTCTAAATATACTTAACTTTCAAGCTAAACTAATTTCTGATAACTGAGATATACTCAGGCTTTCTCAGAAGTCTAATCTGCATGGTTTATTTAGCAACAAAAAAAGGTTTGCGCCCATCACTTATTTTTAAAAAGCATGGCGACACTGGAATGTTTGCCCTTACCCCTCTTTCTACATCATGAATAGTTTCTTCGAGGAAAAAAAAAGACAAAATTGAGACAGGTGGCTTTGCTGAAGATGAATAACTATAGCTCTCTTCAGAGTCTGTTGAAATGACTCCTGCAGAAGGCAGGTCTCTATCATCAGAAGTGACACAGCAATGGCCCCTTTACTCGTAAGTGAGGTAAGGTCGGATAGTATTTGAGGAAATTTCCTCTTTTCCATTAACACTCTTGTTGCAGCCAGCAAGCATTCAGCCTCCATTAGAGTTATTTAGTCAGACAGTTTGGAAGCATGTTTGTTAGGTAGTTACTCATTCTTCAGTTCTCCTCAAAGAGGAGATGCGTGGCATCTGTTCCAAACTACAGGGTTATTAGGCTTATGAAAGCCCTACTCTGTACAAATGTCTTGCAGCAAGTACTACATTTCAACACACAGTTCTCCACTTCAGTATTTAGGCTACAACATCACTCAAGTAAGAAAATACACAGTGAACATAGATTTTCTCTTCCGTTCATCCTGTCTGAGCAGTATGTTGCAGTTCTTGAATTTTTCCTCTCAGGATGAAACCTACTGCTCATCAAACGAGGGATTTCTTCATAATCTTTAAGCTTTTCCATTTTTTTTTATCTGAGTTACATCACTAGAAAAGATGAAAACTATATTTTTATCATTAAGAGCATTTGACTGTCTGGGATGTGTATTGTCCCCTCTTTTCTATGTACAGCGAAAGTAGGCCTAGAGGGAGTAAGGTAGCTGAGCCTCACCCTGAAAAACGAACAGGATTAAGATCATGTCCCCCACGGAATTCAAATCATGAATTCAGGTTGAAACACTGTCTCTGAGTCTTGGACTTATTTATTGATATATTTCTCTTGAGAAGAAAAATACATTTGATGTAAATAATTTGCTCAATCTGTAATACTGATCTCTTTTGCTAGATTCACTCAAAATCTTGAATTTTGTACCAACTGTAAGTACTTTTTTTATATTTATTGTATTTTACAATAGCACAAAACATATTTCCAGGTAGTTTGATTTGTTGTACTGCTTAAGATAACTTGATTTTCGTGACTGGAAAATCATTTCTAAAACCTAGGAAGAAAAAATGTATATGGATTTTCAGGCATGCAATTTCAATAAAGTGACCTTTGTAATATTATTTGAATGGTAAGAACACAAAAACCTCATTGGAAATGTGGCATTTACTTTCAAATATTTCCATTTATTCAGCCAGTCGGTTTTTTAACAGGATTACTCTTTAATTTTCTATTAGTTTTTCTTTACATTTCTGTTTAAACTTGTGCCTTTATTTGAGTTTGCTGTAGATAAGCAAATGGAGTTTCTAATGAAAACCAGTCCATAAGGCTGCTATACTTGTACAAGCTGAAAAACTGAGCTTCTAACATTTTATTTTTCTTCACAGCCAAGCAGACACTTTTTTTTTTCATCTTTCAAAAGCAAATGCTGCTATGGATTGTGAATACTAGACTACACCAGATTGTATCCTAGCTTAGATGAACGTTGTCATGAGTATCAGTACTTGGAGTATTAGTGGCTACCTTAAATTCCATTTTGTAAGTACATAACTTCTGCAGCCTAAATATTGATACATTTTAAAATCTGTAAAGCACTGTATTAATTAACTACTTTACTAACCTTATTCTTAAAAAAAAATTGAATTGTTGGTACAATAAAGGTACAAAGATGTTCTCCTGTGTACTGATAAGAAGGGCATTCTCATCAGCAAGAACAATGCTTTCATGTATAGTGTAAAATAGAAAAAAATACCTCCTACAATTACCCTCTGACATCATAAATATGCAAGTATTTGAAAATTTAAATTTTACGGTATTAAAAGTCTGTTATTAATGAGATGTTTTAACTTCATTTTACAATGTGAATATCCTGTTCACCAATACATATTCCCTTGTCAAGTATTTTGAGAAACTAATTTGAATGCAACCTTTTCAATATGAAAATGCATTAGAACATTTTATTCCATTGCCTGATTATCCTATCCCACATTATCTATTATTCTGTTTCAGTCTTTTGTCTTCACATTAGTTTGCTTTTCCCAGCTTTTATTAAAATTCAATTAATTATAATTCTAATATAAATTAGATAAATATAATCTATTTAAATATAATTCTATTCCCTTTTCCACCTTACTACCTACTTTTGTTCAATATGCTTAGTACAAAACAAAAGTTTCCAAACCACTGAAGTAGACTTGTTCTTCTTATCTATAGTGTCCTAAGGACTAGCCCTGACATATCTCTTTCTAATCTAACATTTCAAGTATGTTTTTATTAATAATAATCTTTTTAATTTAAAATGTTTTAGTTGTAGACAAATCCTTCTTAGCTGAAGCTTTCTTATTCAAAAGACAGTGTGAATATAATATATAAAGCAGCACTTCAAAATTTATTAATTACTATTTCCTCTGTATATTTTCATTATATAGAGAAATTTCAAGTCATTGATGGAAATTGTATTCAATTGGAACTAAGATTTTGTCCCAGATATTTTGTCTTTCATTGGACATGGGGAAGAATAGTAAAAGCTAGAGACAGGAAGAATCTAGTCCAAATCTCTTTTTATCCCCAAGAACTGAAAAGTTTTAATGTCACTGGGTGTTATAATTGTTAAATATTAATTGAATTAATGAAATGAAAAATTTCAAATATTAAAAAGCAAATTTTTTCCAGAATAATTGACATATTTAAGGAAGAGGTTACTCAGATTTATGGCTTTATTCACTCCAAGAAAAATTTTTCACACTATTTGGGACAGTTTACTAATTTTCATTTTGTTTTGCTCATATCTTTTCAAGACAAAGTTGTAAAGTATTTACAAACAAGAATTTCTTCAGGCTGAAAAAGTCAATTAGGTTTTTTTTCCGAGAAACAATTTAAGATTGGGCTTAAATTTTCATTCCCCCAATTTACGGACAAACCTAGAGTAATTGAAAGTACCAGTTCCATGCAAATAGATTCCACTTTCTTTGTTATAATTGCCACAGAAGCAAATTCATATTTTTCCTCAGTAAATTAGAATGATAAATAGTGGTAGATTCTTACAGGATTTTCCAGAAATTTTGTATTTCTTTCCTGGTCCAACATGACTCATTTCAACAGATTCAGAAGAAATTTAATAATCGAATAGGAACACGTGGGAACTACTTAAATATTTGCAAAATGTAAGGAATCTTTATATTTCAGATATCATCATTACAGCACAAACTGCTATAAATAGTTCTGAAGCATTTTTTGAAGCTTTATCTTTTGACAAATTGACTGATTCAATTTAACCTGAGGAAAAATTCTGGTTCATACTTGCTTATAATATTGGCGTATTACTGTTGATACATCTTTCATGCCTTGTTTGACTATTTAGTAAAAGAATGTCTTTCATTTAGTCACAGATTATTTTTTCAAATCAGTTTTAAATATCCTACAGGGTAGTTTTCTTAAATAAACTGTTTTATGCACAGACTAAAATCTCAAATCTAAAGGCCACAGTCTATATCAACGTCATTGAATCCGCTGGCTTCAAAGGGAGTATCATTTAAATATAAACAGTATAATCTTTCCAACCACAATGTTACTTCTGTTTGAATAGCAACAGAAAAAAATCCATGTAAAAGCCTGATGACTTTGTCTACACTGCCTTATATGTAGCCCAAATTTTTGTAAAATTACCATGATTTTGATGCCCCCATTTTCATATGCTCAAGCTGAGATATTTCAATGAAGTGTTGCACTCAGTAATGCAACTCAGCACTTCCTGAAGACGCGTCTCTGAAACATTTTTGCATCTTTGCGCCAATATAAGGGAGTATTTGCAGTACTTTTACATCAAAGTTAATTTGGGGACTAACCAAGTGCCAATGTCATAAACAGAATTATTTCTGCAACATTACTGTGAAAATAGCTGTTGCAACCTTTTTATAATGATAAGTTTAATTTTACTGCTGGAAATATCAAAGACTGCAGCAGACCTAAGAGTTTCCAAATCATGTTTATCTCCCACATTAATGAAAGTGTGCTCATTGTTTTGTATGTTTTGTACTACTGTATTTAATTCTACCAGGGTCAGTTACGATGCACCAGCAAAGTCTGGGACTGTTTACGAGAGGGCATATTAAAGTAACCTAGTGGAACCTGCTTTCTCTGTTTCCAGGAATAAGGCTATGAAACTAACTATTTATCTAATTAATGAATATGTTATATTTATTAGATTAATTAATTTTAATTGACCGCAAAATTTTAAAATACCTAAAAAGCAAGTTAATTCTTAAGATTTTAAGGTAGTGGTTTTCTTCACAAGCCACATGAAAACTGATGAGGATGCTAACTGACAATTTGGTTACCATTTACCAACAAAATGGCATGAAAAACAAATCCATGTGAGTTTTACACATATGATAAACAAAGATATGCTAATTAATCATGCAAAAATTTGTAGCGAGACTTAGTGAAAGATTTAATATAATTTAAAGTGGTTCATACCTGAGAAGGTACAAATGGCTGGTAAAACATCACCAGCAGATTTAACAATTGTCTCAGTATCGAGCAGTATTTTAAAAGCAGGCTTAGACATGGTATGGTTAATTTACTAGAAATTGTCCTTCCAACAGAAGGAAATAAGCCTCACTTAAAATGAAGTCCAACTATAATAAACATTATGTTCTTATTGATCCAACTATGAAAAGATCTTTCTACTAAAACCTTTTCTTTCTACTGCTGAGCAAAATATGGGAGAATTCTAAACTTCTCCTATAGCTACTGAAACTTGTTTTGGATTATTAGCCTTGTTGAATACTTCCTTCATTAGTTCATTGTGGATTTTCCCCTGAAAAGTGGTATTACAGGTTTCCATTCGTTGACATTTAAGCTCTCTGGTCAGTGGTTCAGAAAAAATGGATTAATTAAATTTTTTTCTCTTTTCCATGTTCAGCAAATGACCAATAATGATCCTAATGATCTTGTCTGAATCTGACAGACGAAGACATATTTATTTTTAAAATTACGGTATGAACTGAGTAGAGATAACAGCAGAAGGAGGACCACTAAAAAACTTTTGGGTTTAGTTATTACCTTCAATCATAGAATCATAGAACCATAGAATAGTTTGGGTGGGAATGAACCTTAAAGATCATCTGGTTTCAGCCCCCTGGCCATAGGCAGGGACACCTTTCACCAGGTTACTCAGGGCTCTATCCAACCTGGCCTTGAAAAATTCCAGAGATGGTGTGCCCCCAATTCCTCTCAGCAACCTGTTCTAGTGTCTCACCACTCTCACAGTAAAGAATTTCTTCCTGATACCTAATCTAAATCTACCCTCTTGATTTGAAACCATTCCCCCTTGTCCTGTCACTACATGCACTTATAAAATATCCCTCTCTTTCTTGTAGGTTCCCTCGGAAGGCCGTGATTATGTCACCCTGAAGTCTTCTCTTTTCTAGGCTGAACAATCTCAAAGTAAACTCTGGTGTTGCACTTGTAAGAGTTTCACATTCACTAGTTCATCCAGAAACAACCTCCTTGCACGTGGGGTTCAATACAGGTGATCTTTCTCTGGTCTTTTTCAGTCTATCCAAACATTTATCTTCACGCTTTCCATTCTGTCCTGGTAAAGTATCAGAATTTTGTTTTTCACATTTAAGATATGACATGATATAAATGTAGTTTCAAAGACACTGCATAACATTTGAGGCAACTAAACTTCAGCCAAAGAGTACGAAGAAATATAACGCAATATATAGTTTTGAATAACCCATGATGTTCCTTCCAATTACGTACTGGGAAATTTTCTGTACAGTATTTCTTGAATATATGTAAATACCTAAGCTTCTTGGCTGCTGTTGTAAACAAATAGCATCTAACCTGAAGTATAATAATATTTACAAAGGTAATATTGAAGATGAGGCAGATCACAAAAATATGTGTAAATGGAAGTAGGAGATAAACAGAAAAAAAGAAGGGATCCACATTGATATTGAAATCCTTTGTCCACTGAATGGACCTGATGGAATTAGAGCCTTGAGCGCAAAGGGAACCGTCTCTGAAATGGTATTGCAGTACCAGATTTCTTTAACACCAGACACATTCATGCAAAAATGCAACAGAGTATACAGCAATAAAGTATTGGAAGGCTTTATTAAATTCACCGCTCCCTCACTCTGCCTTCCTGGGCAACTGCATGTAATTCGTTTGTGTTAATAGCATTAGACTGCAAATGTTAGATTAATGTGTACCGGAAAGTTCTTGCCTTTTCTTACAGGGCAATCAGTGTTTACAGACAAAAATAATTAATAATTTTTTGTAGACAAACACAGGACATGTGGTTACTTTATTTGCCACCAACACGAAACTAAATTTTAATAAGATCAGCATCCACTCTTACCCCGTTCAAATGAATGTGATCACTTAAAGAAGGGTAGATTAGGGCTTCTTGCTAAATGGACACATTGCATGCTTATTTAGAAATTAGAGATGAGAAAAGCATAGTCTAGTTTAGCCCCCGAGCAGGTAATTGTGTTATATAACAGTGACTTTATAGCAGCTTTGAG